GAGGTGTGCACCATCCGTTAGTTGAATTGGAGATGGTTAGAGGAAGGGGAAACTGGGCTGGGTTGCTTTTCCTTCTTTAAGCTATTGATCAAGAATGAACATATATTGGCTATCTGTTTGGATAACAAACCAATAAAATGTTTCACACAATCTAAAAAATGGCAGTTATTTGGTCAGTTCTTGGAAGATGGAAACGTATTTGAGATGCAAATGGTAGTTAAGATGTCAGTCAACAACTTTGTTAATTCCCAGAGGTGTACAGCCCTGGATTAAACATGTTTGAGACTATAAATAAAAGACATTGGTTTTCTTGTCCTTGTGCATTCAAACAAATACTTTTAAGATGAAATTAATTTTATCTATTTATGCTGAAGATTAAACAGTGCCTCCTGGATATCAAGCACACACTCTAGCCTTTGTTTTCAATAAAGTTAAATTTAAACCACTGATTTAAATATGATAATATCTCCTGAATAGGTAGTGAAATTCATGCTTTGCATTGGTTTAAAAAATAAGGTTAAATGTGAATATCTGTTTAACATTTTCATATCTATCTGAATCCAGTTTTGCCCAAAGTTGCACTTTTTGCTAAGCAAAGGGCATAGTGGCTTCCAGAGGGTGAGGAAATGGGCAAAAACTTATGCAACATACTGCAGCAGCCATGGGAGATCCAGATCACCAGTGGAGCCCACCAGACTTCCTGAGTACTGTTGGCTGCCTCCGTCAAGAAGGACCTCAAGTATCACAGGTTCAGCATCTGCAAAGTTGGCTTCTCTATCCCTCAGATATCCTCACTTGTTGACCCAAGAAACTTTTAATTTGCAGAGTTTTAGTGATGGATAGAGAGGGAGTATTGGAAGTTGAAGTTCTTCCTTTAAGTGACAACAATAATGAAATTGGATTAGTGTCCTTTATAGTTGAAGAGCTAAATATACACATAAGCATAATTTGAACTTAGTAATTTACCCTCTTTCAAATGATCTCAGATATTTGCCTTATTATTTCTTTTAAAGATTTCAAAGTAGAATAGGAGATGAGAAAAAAAAAAAAACACTTAAGAGCAGCCAGGTACTAGTGGCTCACACCTGTAATCCTACCTACTCAGGAAGCTGACATCTGAAGATCAAAGTTTGGAGCCAGTCCAGGTGGACAAATTCAAGGGACTTTAAGTCCCCAATTAACCACCAAAAAGTCAGAAGTGGAGCTGAGGCTCAAATGATAGAGTGCTACCCTTGAGCAGATAAGCTAAGCAAAAGTCCAAGGACCTAACTTCAAGCCTTCAAGAAAGAAGGAGAAGAAAGAAAAGAGGAAGTAGAAAAAGAAGAAAGGAGGAAGAGGAAGAAATAGAAGAGGAAGAAGGAGGAGGAGGAGAGGAAGAAGAAATAGCAACTTGGCAGAGAAGCGTACTTAGATTAATCAAAAGAATAGCAATTTAGTCTCTCTTGTAAATACTAAAGAATGTCTCTTTAAAAGTTAGAATAGGATCTGGAGATGTAGCTTAGTGGTATAGCACTTACTTTTCACGTGGGAGGCTGTGGGTTTGATCCTGAGCTGGGGGTAGGGTGTGGAAGATAGATACAGAGATAAAGAGAAAAATCCCTTTGGTGCTTCCTTTAATGGATTGATAAATTATAGTCCAAATCCAATGTTTCAAGTAATCATAATAATGTTATACTTGCCTTAGATCAGGTCATTTACTCCAGAACAGATCTCCTTATCTGTCAACTAAAAAAAAAAAATTAGGTCACCTTTATCTTTTTTATTTTTGTAGCTGCAAATGAATTTCTTTAAGAAACATGATTCAGAAGAAGGAAGAAAAAAAGGAGGGGAGAAAAGAATGCATGTAAATAAGCCATGTAAATAAGTAAAAAGAAATAAGTGAAATTAGTTTTGAGAACATAGTTCACCTAACTACATAGCTGAAGAATAACAGGGAATCAATATTCAATTGTTGGGCTCTTATGTATGTTTTACCCCACTTCTAATTCTTCTGTGTGTTTTGTATTTGTAACACATCTCAGTTTGGACTAGGCACATTTCAATGCTCAGTTGGCACCCAGTGAGCCTGGTGTGCTTACAAAGGCAAGTGATGGTGAGATGAGAGCACAAAGCAGAGGCTTTGTCAGACAGGAGTTTAAGTGTAAACTGAAGGTTTATGAACCAAATGAAGATAGTAAGAAGAGACTTTGAAACCAACTAGTGATTTTGGGAACATACATTAAAGGGAGATACCTGGGGCTTAAGTAAGAAATTGTTAGAAGATTCTTATAGCCAGGCATCAGTGGCTCATGCCTGTAATCCTAGCTACTCAGGAGGCTGAGATCTGAGGATTGCGGTTCAGAACCAGCCTGGGCGGGAAAGTCTGTGAGATTCTTCTCTCCAATAAACCACTCAGAAAACCAGAAGTGGCACTGTGGCTCAAGTGGTAGGGCTCTAGCCTTGAGCTGAAAAGCTAAGGGACAGCGCCCAGGCCCAGAGTTCAAGCCCCACAACCGACAAAAATTAAAAACAAGCAAGAAGATTCTTATAGTGAACTAAAATACCCTGGTGCACATGGGCTAAAGGAAGTAGGTGTAAAAATTTCACCAGGTAAAATCATTGAGATTTGGTGGTGACTAACGGATTTTAAGAAGCTGGAGTAATCTGGATGGTTGCTGGGTTTCTACCCAGGGTTGATGGGCCACTTATAAGTAGTATTAACTGGAAGGTGGAAAGTGAGGGATGGTGAATTCAGCACAGGGCTTTATTGACTCTGAGTTGGCTTGGAAACAAGCAGATGAGTAATGTCTACTTTTACATGGAAGAACTTACTTAAGAGAATGTGCAGTAAGAAGCTAGTAAGGCTGGGTAGGAACATGTAATACTAAAGGTGCCAATGATAACTTAAGGCAATAGCAAGAAGTTAAAAAAGAAGAGGGCAGAAAAGGCAGCAGAAGTGTAGAGCAGTAAGAACATATTAGCATGTTTAAGCAATACTAGGAATAAACCTGTCCTACTGGACCAGATGGGATTAGGGCTGAGATCAAAGCTGGGCTAATGAAGTTTTACAGATATGTTTTATTTGGCTTTTGTAGGGCTAGATCACACAGTGTTCCAAATTGAAGTTAGGTGCCAATATTTTCAAGCAAAATCCAGACTTCTGACTTTTTTTTTTTTTAGTACAAGGGGCCTAGGCAGTAGAATTGGCAAGATTAATAGTAATACTCAACTGGTGTATGTTTTTTTCTTTCCAGTGAATGTTTTACTTCTACATATTATTTCCCAGAGTCCTGTAAACATTTGAATTTTCAACTCTTGAAAATTCTGTAGTGAAGTACAAAGATAGATTAGTAACAGATTATAGAGAGTTTTGAATGCCAAATAGAGTCTAAAATGTAGGCAGTAGGCTACCATTAAGGAAGAGACTGATATGATTAAAGCTGCATTTACAAGGATTTTTCTGTACCAGTATGAAAAAAGAATGGTTACCAGTTTTGAAAAGGAAGACAGAAATGAGATGGTAGCATACACTAATAGACTTCAAAGTGAAAGCAGGAAAGAAAAAAAAAATGAAAACAAGTGAGGCCCGGTATGGTACATGCTTATTGTAATCCCAGTACTTAAGAGGCTGAGGCAGTTGGATGGTGAGTTCAAGGCTAGTGCTAGCCACATAGCAAGACCCTGTCTCAAAAAAAACAAAGCTAAATAGAAGTATCGTAAGTAAGAATCTGTCATCTAGAGAGTCCATGTGGGCCATTGAGCTTGGTGAGCAATGGAAAACCTAAATTAGTGTTTGATATGAGAGACAAGCAATGCCAGGGTCATCACAGGAAAGTCAAATGATGCTTAGGGTCATTATAGTCTATGTTCTAAGAAGACTGTAAGTGGAAGGAAAAATTATTTTTTCCTTCTCTCTCTTACCTCCACTTCCAGAACGAATGATTCCAAAAGGTCCTCTTTTAAAAGGAAGGCTAAAATGAAAGACTGGTCATTCAGCTGTGTGGGGGCACTCTTCTAAATAATAATTATAAAAGTATTATTTTAATTTCTACAGTGATTTTCAAATTTATAATTTTATAACATTTATTATTTAGAAAAATGCTGAAGATTAAATACATACTAGTAAACACTCTGCCACTTGACTATATCCCCACCTCCTAAGTTATTTATGTAGACATTTTTCTTTTTTTTATTTTATTTTATTTGTGAACATACTGTACAGAGGGGTTACAATTACACGGGCAGGATAATGCATACATTTCTTACCAAGCATTACAGCCTCCTCCTTTGTTTACCCTTCACATCCCTTCCCAGCCTCCCGTAGACATTTTTCTTGATCCTCACAACCACTTCTAAAATAGACACTTTCGCTTTTTCCATTTTGTCCATGAGGAGATTCAAATTCTACAGGTCAGGAACTCACCCAAAGTCACAGAGTTGATAGACTGCTTGTACGTAAGCAGTCTGATTTTCCAGAGGCTTAAATCTTTTAACCAGTATGTGAAACTGCTCCTGTTCTAGCGTTGTGTGAGTAGGCAACTAGGGAAGCTTATGCTTTCATCCTGGATGCTCTGCTGTGACTTATTTCAGAGGTGTCAGCTTGGTTCAGATCCCCTAGAAGAGATAAAACTTCAGAAGTGACCTTTCAACTGTCTTTAAGGGAGCACACAATTTGCTGGCTCCTTGGTAACTTTTAGAGAACTCAGGTCTGTGGTGTATCCAAAAATATCATCTTTCTTTGGTGTATGGCCGAATGTTAGCTTGTAAAGTATATTTTGGTAACCATTTACTGAAAAAAAATGCTTGTAAGAACTCATTTATTTTTATGAAAGCTAAATCATGTTAGTTTTCCCTCATATGGTCTCCTAAAAATTTATTACAGAACAGCTGTTACAAATATTCTAATTTGGAAGGGTAGGCATCCATAATATTGTAGAGAACTAAACACTTTGAAGTCAAAGCTTCAAACTTGTAAGTTTTCTGATTATATTTAATGTGGCTCCTTTTTCTTTGGTGGACAGATGAAACATGTGAATGAAAGATTTCAAGATGAAAAGAATAAGGAGGTGGTTCTCATGTGCATTGGCATCACTTCAGGAGTTGGACGGCTTCTCTTTGGCCGCATTGCAGATTACGTGCCTGGTGTGAAGAAGGTTTATCTACAGGTACTCCCTCACACTTTCCTTGCCTAACAATGTACTTCTATGCTTGACTTCTTTCCTAGGCAGTTAGTTAGTTATCAGCTTAAGTTTTTAACATAAGGCACTAAGAACCAACCATCTTCTTTGTTTTGTTAGGGAACTCCACCAAACCAAGATGTTTTTGCTCATTACTTTTTCTAAGAAGAAGTCTTTGTTTTGGGCATAGTTCTTAGAGTCACATGAAATCTGGTGCCTTTGGTAACATCTTGGGAAATGTGTGTGTGTGTGTATGTGTGTGTGTGTGTGTGTGTATGTGTGAGTGTGTGTAACAGAGAGAAAGAGGGAGAGAAAAGGGACATAGGGACAGAAGGACAGAGAAAGGGGCAGAGAGACAGAGATTTTTGAGTTACCTTACTGTAAATTTGCCTGCTGGGTGTTATGTAGTGTGTGTAAACAAACATTAATTCCAAGATCATTATTGACACTCAGTCAACAGGTAGTTTGCCAGACATTGTGCAAAATGCTGCAGAGTTAAAGGAAACTGTGATCCTCAGTGAGTAGCTAAAGATCTCCTGGGAAGATATATAAAGCAGTGTTGAAGTAAAGTATTGCAGTACATTATGCCAATCTAGCATACTCATGCTCATGCCCTGGGAAAATCTGAGTTACTAGTGAAGGACAGAGTAATATTAAGAGGGAAATAGTTGTTACAGAGCTCAGGATAGGGGCTGGGAAGGTAGCTCAGCGGTAGAGTGCATGCCTTGCAAGCATGAGGCCCTGGGTTCGATTCCTCAGCACCACATAAACAGAAAAAGCCGGAAGTGGCGCTGTGGCTCCAGTGGTAGAGCACTAGCCTTGAGCTGAAGAGCTGAGGGACAGCGCCCAGACCCAGAGTACAGGCCCCATGACCAGCAAAAAACAAAAAACAAAACAAAACAACAACAACAAAAAACAGAGCTCAGGATATAGCTCAGTAACAGAGTATTTGACTAGCCTGCACAAGGCTGTGGGTTTGACTCCAACACCATGTGTGAGCACATGTGAGTGTGTGCGTGCACACACACACACAGAGGCATACAAACACACATATAAGAGTAGTTAGGTAAATATGGATGAATGTATGGATGGATGAATGTATGTATGTATGTATGGATAGATGGATGGATGGAGGGATGGACTTCCAAGTAGAAGAATCTACATGTGCAAAGATATGGCATGTGATTGTCTGAGAAACTGAATGTTTGAATTGGATAGAGTAGTAGATGGTTCAGACAGAGAAATGGCTAGGTTGGGAGGAGCTTTTATGTGCATAAAAGAGAGTGAACTTTATTCTGCGAGGAGCCATAGAAGGATTTTTAAGCAAGGGACTAATGTGAGTTTTATTTTGTAATGATCAGTGTAGTAACTGTGAGGGACAGAATGGAGTAGAAGATGGGGCAAGAATTCAGATGGTGGGTCTGGGAAGGTGGCTCAGTGGTAGAGCACTTGCCTTGCATGCATGAGGCCCTGGATTCCATTCCCCAGCACCACATAAGCAAAAAGAAAAAAAAGCCATAAGTGGCTCTGTGGCTCAAGTGGTAGAGCACTAGCCTTGAGTTGAAGAGCTGAAGGACAGCGCCCAGGCCCAGAGTTCAGGCTCCGCGACCAGACCCCCCAAAAAAAAGAAAAAGAAAAGAATTCAGATGGTGACAAAAAGATACATGTTGATAATCCTTTTTATGTAAAATGTCCAGAAGACAGGTTGTTGGGGGGTGGGGAGACAAGGCTGGGGGAAAGAAGGGAAGGGTAATTTCCAGTATGTATAGAGTCTCTTTGGGGCTAATGAAAATGTTCTTAAACTAGTGATGGTTGTACAACTTTGTAAATATACTAAAAACCACTAAATAGTACACTTAAAATGTATGAGTACTAGGATATTGAATTTTTTAAAAAGCAATTTTTTTGGGGGGGGGTCCAGTCATTGGGCTTGAACTCTGGGCCTGGGCACTGTCCCTCAGCTGTTCAGCTCAAGGCTAGCTCTCTACCACTTGAGCCCAGCGCCACTTCTGGCTTTTTTTTTTTTTTTTTGCTTATGTGGTGCTGAGGAATTGAACCCAGGGCCTCAGGTATGCAAGGCAAGCGCTCTACCACTGAGCCACCTTCCCAGCCCCCTTAAAAAGCAATTATTTTGGCTGGGTGCTGGTTGCTCACACCTGTAATCCTAGCTGCTCAGGAGGCTGAGATCTGAGGATCCCTGCTCAAAGCCAGCCCAGGTAGGAAAGGCCATGAGACTCTTACTTCCATTTAACTAGAAACCCAGAAATAGCACTGTGGCTCTAAGTGATAGAGCACTAGCCTTGAGCAAAATAGCTCAGGGACAGCACCCAGGTCCTCAGTTCAAGCTCTATGACTGATAACCCCCTCCCCCCGCAAAGCTATTATTAAAATAAACAAGAGTGGAGGCCCAGAGACCAGAGACTGGTTGGAGACTGTTTAAGAGCCTCAGCTGGAAAGCAAGGGCAGAGACATAGATCAAATGGAGTAAACTACAGATAGAGAGATTGAATTACTGTAAATCACTCATGAATGAAACCACTTAATCTGAGATCTGTGGCTTGAGTAAGAAGAGTAGATGGTTTGAGTATTTTGTGAGATCAGTAACTCACTAAATCTGGATAGTTTGATGAGTTAATTTTTGCCATGTTAAGTGTGTGGTGCCTGTGAGAAAGTGGAGTTTGAAGCTCATGAATAGATCTGGGTCTGGATAAGAAACCTGTGGGACTTTCACATTCATCAGCTGGATGGAGTAAGGGAAGGATGCAGCAAAGAGTCTCAGAGTGGCCAGCTCTCTTTCAGTGCTCTGTACAGGCCCTGAGTACTTCTAGGGGCAAGAGAGGTCAGGCTATCAGTAGCTAATGACTAGAGAGGCTTTACAGGATTTAGCCAAAGAGAAGCACCAGTGCCTCACAGAGAGGAGTTTCAGTGTAGTGGCAAGAAGATGGATTAAGATTAGTTGAATAATGGAAATATCTCATTCCAAAAGATTGGCTATGGAAAAGAAAGGAAAAGAGAGCCAAAAGGGAAACTTGGGGTTTCTGACTGAAGCATAAGTAGTCATAATTGAACAGTGCTTTGAAAAAGACATTTTAAAAAAAGAGGTGACAGGAAAATGATTGGAAAAGATACATGTTCTGGACAAATAACTTCCATTAAGTAGCACGGGTAATGGCTATTATTTATTGAGCATTTTCATATGCCAGATCCTAAAGTAAGTGCTTTCCAGATTTTGTCTCATTAGTTATTGCCCAAGCCCTTAGAGCAAAGTTTTATCCTTATTTCTATTTTCAGCTTTGAACAATGAGGAACAGAGAGGCGATCTCACTATGGATATCTATGTGTATGTAGGCCCAGTAAGCAGTAGAAGGAGGTTGGCACATAGCTAGGAGGAAATTTGTTATGCTAGGATTGAATCCAAGGCCTTGGACATTTGTGCATTATTTTAAAAAATGTATTTATTATATGAGGATCAGTCTTCACTTTATGAATACCTCATTGTAGGTATCCCCAGCATTTAGCTGACTATATTAGGGTAGTTCTCAAGTGTTAAGGGAACCCTCTAATGGACATTTGTTGTATTACAGACTTTCTAAAAGTTGTGAGCGCCTTTTGGCTCTACATATCACCCAGACCAAGGTTAGATGATAAACAGAATAAATGTGGTCCCTGAAGTCCTTGAGCAGGGCTAGGACAGGACAGGCCTGAATGTACCGGGAACTAAGATAGAAAGAGTGGCAGGAAAGAAGATTAGAAAGCTAGGAGGGGTCAGTTGTGAGTATAGTGGGCCTTTGTTGGAGAATGTGTTAGTGTGCACAATTCTCTATTTGAAGTTTTTTTGTTTTGTTTTGTTGTTGGTTGTGGGGCTTGAACTCTGGGCCTGGGTGCTGTCCCTCAGCTCTTCAGCTCAAGGCTAGCACACTACCACTTAAGCCACTTCTGTCCTTTTCTGTTTATGTGGTGCTGAGGAATCAAACCCAGGGCCTCATGCCTTTGAGGCAAGCAATCTCTCACTGAGCCACCTTCCTAGCCCCAATAGATTCCAGGCCCCCTCTTTTTTTTGTCAGTCATGTGGTTTGAACTCTGGGCCTGGGTGCTGTCCCTGAGCTATTCAGCTCAAAGCTAGCACTCTACCACTTGAGCCATAGCACCACATCCAGTTTTTGAGTGGTTAATTGCCAATAAGAGTCTCCCAGGGACTTTTCTGCCTGGGCTGGCTTTGATCCTCAGATCTCAGCCTCCTGAGTAGCTAGGCTTACAGGCATGAGCCACTGGTGCCCAGCTAGTTGGAAGTTTTTAAAAATGTGTTTATGAGTTAAATTTGTATTTAGGAAAACTGAAAAAACTTTCTTATTTTGTTTTTGCTTTTGTTCTCTTGCAGCATTGAGGCTTGAATTCAGGGCTTTGTAACTTGCTAAGTATGCACACTACCACTCAGAGCCCTCACTCCCAGCCATTTTTGCTCTAATAATTTTTTAGATAGGGCCTCTCATTTTTGCTTGGGTTTGCCTGGACTAAGATGCTCCTAGTTATATACCACAGACTCATGCCTACATACTCATCTTGTTGAGATGGTGATCTCACTAACTCTTGCCTCTCTTTGAACCACAATCCTTTTGATCTTTGCCTCCTAAGAGGCACCTTACTGGGCCTAAGAATACTGACTTTTATACCACCTTTCTATGTAAACTTCCTTGTTCAGTTTAAGTAGAGCAGCTCCATGTTGCCCAATTTTGTCTCATTCCATTTTAATATTTTACATTTTTCCTAAATCTATACCTTGGGATTGGGGGGCCTAGACTTTACAAACTGTTTTGAAATAGTGTCCAAATTTTTAACAATTCCCCAATTGTTAAACGTGCCAAGTGCCAACTCCTCCAGTAGGTAGAAACCATATACATATGTGCTTAGGGAAAGTTGGACAATCTCCCTGTGAAACACTTCCAAAGGACCATAACCTGTGTCTCAGGAGCCAGCTACCCAACTGTGTGACCTGAACATTTCTGTTTAGTTTCAGAGGGACTGGCGGGACTTTGCTGCCAGCTGCTTACTGCCTTGGGTGCCTAGCAACAGGTTCTAAAAGTGCTGAAGCTTTACATTGAATAAACCTATTAACAGCAACCCTTGAAACTAACCGTCTAATTGTGTGTCTGCCTCCAAAAATGTCTTCTGCTTATTCATGCTCCTCTCATGTGATATTTAGATCCCTGAACAAAACTTGAACTGAACATTTCTCCAAGAATGCTCTTTTTATGACAGAAATATGTAGAGTTTTAGCAAAAAATGTTCTTGCACTTAAGAGCATGAACTAACTCTAAAAAGACTAATTCTCCAAGAGCCTATCATATTATGACAAAAAATATTCCCTTGAATAGTTTTTAAAAAGGAAAAGAAATATGAGTAGCTAGACTGTAATCATTTTATTAAATGTTAATATCAGAGTCTAGAAGAGAACTGGGGTTGGGGTGGGGGAGCTCTGAATCCCTTATGTAAATGTAAGTAGAGCTGCTATGTTTAAGGGAAGAAAAAAAGATTGCATGTAATGCTGATGTATTCATCTTTCAACCTGGTCCCAGTATTTACAGATCAATATTTGATGTATGAATCAATATTTACTTTGGGAAATGATGAGGAAGCACTGAACCTCCTATATGGTCAGTTTGATCAACCTTGGCAGGCAATCTTTGTGGCCCAAGTCTCCCTCCATAGAAGGAATAGTAGTTATTCATCAGAAGCAGGTATGTTTTTTCCAGCCTGGAGACATTTTGAGAAGTCAAATATGGGGGCTGGGAAGGTGGCTCAGTGGTAGAGCGCTTGCCTTGCATGCCTGAGACCCTGGGTTCGATTCCTCAGCACCACATAAGCAAAAAGAAAA